AAAAAAATATATATTTTCAAAAAATGAAAAAAAATCATATTATTAATTTTTTATCAGAATGGAGACCCAATACAGTTTAGTCCAACATATCGTTGACAGTATGAAGCTTATTATTAATATGAATTTTTGCAGATTTGAACTAGTATTTAAAGTCAAACACAAAAATAACCTCTTTTTTTTTTAAATTGATTTTCTCATATTCACCCCACAAGTTCATATAGTTCACAAAAATGCCATCAAATTTTTTTAAAAAAATGACATTTTTACTCTCTCACCCCCATCATCTTCAAGTAATTACAAGATTGTCATTGTCATCGATATCCCAACCACCATGAACAACCAATTTGATGCCCTTAATGCTTCCAAATTTGATTTACCCTTCTTCTTTCTCCATTCTTATGAACTAAACAAAACATCTCTCTCACTTTCTCTCCACATTGTGCAAAAAAACCCAAAATTTTGACTTTATATATTTTAGGGTTCATATAGTTAAAGAAACTAACGATTCTAGGTGGGTTACTTTCGTTTGAGATTTTATGTACTTGGAGAAGCCTTATGTGTGCTAAGTCAGTTTTTTTTTTCTTTTCTAACACGTGTGCTAAGAAAGTTTTCTAACCAATTTAAGGTATGAAATCAAGTTTTTTTCCAGATCTGTTTGTCCAGACGACTGATCAATGCAAAGCCCATTTTTGCAATTGCCTTTGATATTTGTTTTTTGAGACGACTAAAACATCAGTCGTATGCATTAGTTTGGTGACAAAAAAAATCTCATAAGAATCTGGACGACAAGAAATTTCAGTCGTCATAGGTTAGTTTTGCATTTGACTAGAATATTTCAGAAGTTTGACTTTTACGGACGACTTACATTTCAGTCGTCCGGAAAAATTTGAAATATCAATATTTTAGTGAAACTCGACGACTTATATTTTAGTCGTTGTAGGTTAGTTTTGCAATTGTGAAAAAAAGTTCAACTTTTAAATACAACCAGGCGATTTACAATTCTGTCGTCCTACATAAGACTTATAATTCAGACTTATTATTTTAAATGCAGCATGTTGATGTTTGGATTAATGTCCTGAGGAAGAGGTACGCTGATAAGCCATAAGAGTTCAGGAGCGAGAGGATTTGCTTCCTTGATCATCTATTTTCTCAGCAATGGAGATTCAATTACTCTGATTTTAAAGAATCAAAGTGTGATAGGAAGAAGACTCCCTGGTGGAGCGTTTAATTATTATTCAGGCGCTATACCATCATTTTACCAGTCAAACAAGATATGGGGGGTGGATATTGATGATATCTATGCGCCAGTGAACTACAACAACTGTCATTGGATTGCTATGTGGATATCGATCCCTGAGAGATACATAGTCGTCTGGGACAGCATGTATTCATGTATCTCTGACGAAGAACTCGCTGTGGTAATGGAGTCTTTTCTCTACATGATCCCTTATATGCTTGTTGAGTGCGCTACCTCTGATGAAATGCGTGCCCAATACTCCATGGAGCCATTCACATTTAAACGTGAACCCAATATGCCTCAGGCCCAAGCTGGTGATTGTGGTGTCTTTGCTCTAAAATACATTGAATGTCATGCTCTTGGGATGCCATTTAATCTAAAAGATAGCGGTGGATATATTTAATGAGCTCCCTGGCCAGCATGAAAAGGAAAAAAGGATAATTTTGAGAACATAGCTGCTTATGATGGGTGATAGATTAGGCTGATGTTTGTATGTTTGTATTTGAACTTGATTAGGCTAATGTTTAGGCTGATGTTTGTATGTTTTGTTTGTTTGTTGTAATCTTATTTTCGCACAGAAGACTTACAGTTAAGTCGGCTGGAATGTTGGACGATTTAACTGTAAGTCTCTGCAGTGACCTTTCGGAACCTTCTTAAATTTGGTTGTGCAAATTTATAGACTCATAAAGCCTAGACGACTTAGTAGAAAACTTTTAATTAAGTCGTCTGGAAAGTCATCCAGCTGGAAGACTTTCCAGATGACTTAATTATTAGTCGTCTGAGAAGTCTAATACAAATTTTTACTACATAGATTCATAATACAAATTATTAATACATAGATTCATAACACAGATTCTTAATACATAGATTCATAACACAAATTTTTAATACATAGATTCATAACACAAATTCTTCTGGACGACTTAATTAAAGGTCGTTTGGAAAGTCATCCAGCTGGAAGACTTTTCAGGTGACATAATTATTAGTCGTTTGAGAAGTCTAACACAAATTCTTAATACGTACTCATAAAGCCTGGATGACTTAGTAGAAGACTTATAATTAAGTCGTCTGGAAAGTCATCCAGCTGGAAGACTTTCTAGATGACTTAATTATTAGTCGTCTGAGAAGTCTAACACAAATTCTTAATACATAGTTTCATAACACAAATTATTCTAGACGACTTAAATAAAGGTCATTCTTTACATTGTGCTTTTGTATGGTCATTTTCTCTGCATAGTGAGCATCTATAAACCATGTGTTGCTTCCGGGGTTTGCGTCCTCTCATTCGGGATAGCTCTAACCAATATTGCCATCTTGATTTCTTATGTCTCCCCGGACCACGCTTTTCGGCCGGAGGATCACATGTGCGTTCCTCAACTTGTTGTCCAGCACAAGGATATATATTCTCTGAGTATCCTTCAAACAAATAATTCTTTGAGTACACTGGATGTACAAGTGTGGAGATATGCACACAAGCATGTCATCATCCTCCTCCCCATCATCCTTCTCCCCATCATCCTCCTCCCCATCATGGTTTTCATCTTTAACCAAATCATCATCATCATTTTCAAAAAAATCATCAGCTTCATCAGCTTCTTTCCTTTCCTTTAAAACCATTTACACCTTGCTACAGCTTGATACACAAGGCCGTACTCTATGCGTTTTGGTTATCTCAAGCAAGTTTCGAACTTGTCTATCCCTTGTAACATGAATAGGAGGGATGTCTGGATCCATCTGTTGAATCATTTCTGCTGGTAGTGAGTAGGTTATCTCCACAGATTATGTGCTCATGTCCAGGTTAAAATCTTCTTAATCCATTGAAACAAGTTCAGCATGTGTCGAACCTTCACTCAAAAGAAACATTCTCGCTCCTTTGAAGTTATCAACCACAAAATCCCAACAGCCATCTTTGAACAACAATTCTCCATACACTGCATGTAACTGACGCATCATCTGCAAAAATTCAAAATAAAACACATTAGTAAGCATAGAGAAATGAAATTTTACTAAACACTGACGCCAACGATATACCAGTAAGTCGTCTGGAAGACTTAGATGACTTACCAATAAGTCGTCCAAACAGGTCATTTTTGCAATTGACTTTTCAATGGGACGACTTAATTATAAGTCGTCCAGCTTTGTTTGTTAAAAAAAAAAATTTAGAAGATTTACCATTAAGTCGTCTAGGATAAACGGGTTAGTTTTGCATTTGAACGACTTGTGTCAGATATTTGACTTTTCTTGGACAACTTACCAGTAAGTCGTCTCTGGAAAAACAAAAATTTCAATATTTAATTAAAGCTAGACGGCTTATATATAGGTCGTCTCAGGTTAGTTTGAAATTCGAAAATAAAACTTAAATATTTTACTTTTCGCAGAAGACTTACTTGAAAGTTGTCCAGTTTGATGACCTACGAGAAAGTCGTCTGAGATAAGCAAGGTTTGACCAGAATCTCGGAAAAAAATCTGGACGACTTTGATTATCCTGGAAGACTTTCAAGTAAGTCGTCCGACTGGAAGACTTTCAAGTAAGTCGTCCGACTGGACGACTTCCGTGTAAGTTGTCTGGGAGAAATAAAATATGTAAGTTTTATTTTCTATTTGCAAAACTAATCTGATACGACTTAAAGATAAGTCGTCTAGTTTGAATAAAATATTAAAAATTTTGTTTTCTCAGAGACGACTTATCAGTAAGTCGTCCAGGAAAAGACAAATTTCTGACATAAGTCGGTCAAATGCAAAACTAACCCGTTTATCCTAGACGACCTATCGGTAAGTCGTCTACGATATTCTCTAGATTTTGTTTAACAAACAAAACTAGACGACTTAGAATTAAGTCGACTATTTGACCAGAAGACTTACCTGTAAGTCTTCTATAGCTAGACGACTTACGGGTAAGTTTTCTACGCGAACAGATCTGTTAAAAATTTCAATTTCATACCTTAAACTAGTGAGATGACTTCCTTAGCACATATATTCTTCTCCAACCTACCCAGAACCTCAAACGAAAGTAACCCACGAAGAATAGTAAGCTTGAATGGCTTTATCAACCATAAAAAAAATTGAATCAAAAGCTTGAATTTTTTGGATGAATATAGAGACAAAGTGAAAGAGATGTTGTTTTTCGTTCATAACAATTGAGAAAGATAGAGTGTAAATTGATTTTAGGTGCATTAAGAGCTTCAAATTGGTTGTTCATGGTAGTTAGGGTATTGATGGCAATAACAATCTTGTAAATACTTGAAGATGATGAGGTTGAGAGAGTAAAAAAAAAAAATTAATGGCATTTTCATAAATAATGTGAACATGTAGGGTGAATAGGACAAAAGAAAAGTAAAAAAAAAATGTTAGTTTTGTTTGACTTTGAGTTTTGAGTCAAATTTGCAAAAAAAAAAATCCATCTCTTTGATATACTTACAACAACATTAACAAATATCTCATTATTTTCCAACAATAACTCATCATAATAGATATTGACCTACACATAACGACGATATCTGACATAAGAAGCAATGAATACTAAGAGCACCTCCAACGGTATTACCACCATTGGAGTCCTTAACAATTTAAAATTCTTTTTTTTTTTTGTTAGAATAGTTAAGGACTCTAGTCCAATTTGTGTATCCAATGGTGTTACCCAATATAAAGTCCTTAGGAATTAAATTTGTAAAACATAAACCGGAACAAATTATACAAACAACTTCCTGCAATACTTGTTAACATATGAGATGTATTGTGCACACGTACCTAAAGCAAGAGCTTGTTAACTTCTCAGCTCAGCTGCATGAGATGAAGTGGTGGCTCCAAAGGGCATAGGTTGGGAGGTCGTTAGACCATACTGGGCGAACAAGGTATCAGTCTCAGAGGGGTTGTCACACCATGTGACGAAAGAGTCGAAGTTCATAAGCTCGGATGATGAAGAGGAGTTAAGCATGTCATCAGAGATCAAACTGAAACCAAAGCTAAAACCATTCACATGTTCTTGATAACTAAACCCTTTTATCTCTTTAAGCAAAAAGGGTGTTCCATCTTGATGATTACTTGACCAGAACACAACAACAACAACAGCTATTGATTTTTGATACAAACTGCTAGAGATCAAAGACATGATCTTTAATGACAAAAAGAGATGCTTGAAAAACCCTCACACATAGCAAAGTTAATGAATCAAACTTCTACCAGTATCCTACAACAAAGAAGAAGATGTCGCAAAATCAATTCAGGGTTTCAGACAAATCAAAAACAGAGACGACAACTACACGAGTGGTGTTCCCTTTAAGCAAACACAAAGACAAAAGAAAAAGCAAGAGAGTAAAGTAAAAGTTTGAACTTTAAGCTAAAAGTAGAAAGTTGAGTTTGTTTTCAACATTCCTGCAATACTTGTTAACATATGATATCTCTGAAACCAGGAGGCTTGCACACAAAGCTACATCACTGTATCAATATCTATATGGAAGCATGTATAAGAAGACAAGAGTGACAAACATAACTTAACTCTCTCTAACCATCAAAACACATTGAATGGAAACATAAACGAATACAGAACATGGTACCTTCTTTGAAGCGCCTGTGCTTTTGATGTTCCAACAACATCAAGCGACTCCATTCCTTTGCTGGGATCATAGGTTCGTTCCTTAACAAAACCCAGGGTCTACCACATATCTTATTCCCGGAGTTGTAATTGATGTCTCTGCTATATTTTTTGCTTAACTTGCTTGAATGGCTAAGATCAACCCACTTTAACTTCTGTGTATCCTGCAATGAATATTCATAAACGCTAAGAAACTCTAAAGCTCATAAACTGAAACAAACTTAAACAGAGACAGACCTTAACACTTCGAGGTTTCTCATTCAACATACTCAGATCAATCATCTAACCCTTGTTTGATTCCCCCATGAATCAATCAGACATCCCAGACTCATACCTACAACAAGATTCAAGCTTATCAACCAAACATGTAAGAGACATTACATAACGCACAATGTTTCGCCAAAGGAACCGTAGTAGATCTACAGTGTGTACCCTAACAATCAAAAGAGAATCCATAGCTACGAAGAATTCTCTACATAATTCTTATATAACCACAAAACGAATCAAACTCAAAACCCTAATCAAATCAATCGAATCGGGGCAAAAGGCATCGGATCCAGACCTAATTACTATCATCTGATTTAAATTAACCAATCACACTACCATCACAGAAGAAAATGAAACGAGATTTTACCTCGAAACGTTTCGGATAATGAGTCGACTACGAAGGATCACGGAAATCGCCCGAGCTTTTTTTTTTTATTTGAGTCGCAAATGATTTTTTTTAAACGGTATACATCGCTCGCCACGTCAGCAAGGATTTGATCCTTAAATCCCTTAGTTACAAATCAATCCTTGCCAAAGTAAGGTGATTTAATATTTTTTTAATCATAAAGCATTAAGGATTAACACTTAAGGATTCTTTTTTCAATGTTGGACATGCTCTAATAACTTACTGACCGAACCTGCACATTTATGCCACTAACACGTGTACAAACCCTAGCCTCTTTGTAAAATTTTCCTGGTCGACACAAATATCCTTTGGCCGGAGCACAATGAGCATCCTCCGAACATATACACAACCCCTCCAATGCACATCCATTTTTTACTATCGTCACTTTTCCTTTGATCCCTAATATCTGATCGGTCCACTCAGTCAAGAATAAACCCGCTGGATCATAACTTTCCTTCATTTTCAAGAATACTGGGGCGTTCTTATACTTCTTAACAACTCCATCAAAAGCTAAATTTCTGTTCTTACCCCAATGTGGCAATGCTTTATACTTGAACAGTGCGATTTGCTCAATTTCTTCGATGAAATCTTCGTAGAGTCTCGGTGTTAATGGATTTTTGGCTCGGTAATAAGTTAAATCAAAGTCTAAAGCTTCTGTTTCTTTTCCAAGATAAGCTGAAGAAGATGTGACATAGCGCATTAGAATACCGTATATAGCTCAAGCCCGCATAGAGATTTCCGTTCGATCTTAATGAGAGATTTGATGTCGTTGATGAAACTTTTGACTTGTGTAAGCGGAACACTGAAAGTTGTTTGGTGAAAGAATTCGCTCTTTATATGTGAATCCCATGGACACGCCGTGATCAACCCATCTTGACGACTATCTAAGCATGATCCTGATGACATCATACGGTCTTGGCTTCCAGTGACGGGATAACCAGTAAATATAATGCCTAATGCCATTAATATACAGTAGGTGGTGTGAGTTAATGTTCGTTCGTAAAATCAGTAAAAATGACAAGGTGAAAATAATAATATTTTAGTAATTTACCATTGTTTGTCAGACCGAATGAACTAGAAAATAGTGTAGATGAAATCAGTGTGGCTCCTACACACTTACCATTTGCATCTCTGAACGTCTCTTGTGTCTCCTCTTAAATTAATACAAGACAAAACAAAGAGGGAGAATTTAAGCTATACTATAAAACATTTAATAAATGGAGAGAATCATTCAATTATTTCTTAGAGTTCTTATCAGATATAAATAAGGATGAACCTGATGATCTTATGATGGCTAATGCTGCAGAGAGTTGCGAACGAAACGGTAAAAAATAAACAATCCGTTACCGGATGTGTTTACGGCTACTCGGTCGTCTATTCAATACACCACTTTGCCTTGGCTTAGTAACCATATGAAATCTGCAAACTCATGTTTCTTGCCAAATGTCACGGCTTGATCTCCAAAGTCCTTAACGATCTCTTGAACATGGGTTGTAGTTTAAAAGTCACCTTAATTGGGATTGTTGTAATAATGTGTTAGAACTATGTTATGTTTTTGCACTAATTAAGTTTTAAAGGATCACACCTGAGAGATGACACCAAGAACACCAAGAGAAACCTTAGCAGCATTAAACTCGTTAGGAGTTGTAGTCTCGCTTAAAACTCTAACCTTTGCAAACCCATCGTTGACCGAACCAGGACTAACCATTATGATCTCGGTCACATAATCATGAACCGCACTTCCTTTACTCCACAATGAGCTCCCATGAGCACCGGTTCCCATCATACCACCCACGGTCAGTCCCCACCAATATGGTGCATAGGGCAGCGCCAATTCAACCTTAGCCGCTTCAGCTATTAACTGCCTAAGTGTCACGCCGCTCTCAACCGTCAGGGTCATGGCCTCTTCATCGGCTCGCACCATGTGGTTTAAAAACTTTGTGCTTATGAACAAACCATCGGTTCCATCTGTACACACAAGCTTAGTGATGCTGTGGGAATATCGAGTGATTACACGCATTTTCCGTCCGGCTTTAGTGGCTGCTGCTGTTAAGCTAGATGGGCTTCCAACTTAAAACCAATTGGAGATAAGTGGAGTGGTCCATTTATCTTATATTGCTAGAGATCCCTTCCAACAACCGATGTGGGACTTTAATCCCTAATATGCCCCCTCGAGATGATGGCTCTTTGGCGTCAATCTCGGAATGTTCGGGCAAGGATCGATGGGCCGACTTTGGGCTGGATCAATAAGGATCGGGTTGGACTACGTGGATCGTGGGCTCTGATACCATGTTAAGCTAAATTGACTTCCAACTTAAAACCAATTGGTAATAACTGGATTGACCCATCTATCTTATATATTAGATAGAATTCATTCCAACTTCCGATGTGGGACCTTTGTCCCTAATACGCCCCCTCGAGATGATGACTCTTTGGTGTCAATTTCGGAATATTTGGGCAAGGATCGATAGGCCGACTTTGGGCTGGATCGATAAGGATCGGGTTGGACTGCGTGGATCGTGGGCTCTGATACCATGTTAAGCTAGATGAGCTTCCAACTTAAAACCAATTGGTGATAAGTGGAGTGGTCCATTTATCTTATATATCGCTAGAGATCCCTTCCAACAACCGATGTGGGACTTTAGTCCCTAATAGCTGCCACGATGGAGACCTCAGCTTCGGTGGTTGGATACGACACATTGGCGGCTCGACATACAGATCTATCTGGAAAGTCTCCATAAGAGTTTGTGACGGTGCATTCTGAGTTTGCAGACACACACTTGACAGGATCTTCAGGTGGTGTTGAGATTGTAACGAACACTAGTGTAAATATACAGTGCAATACGAGAAGGGTACGCCAAAACGCGACGTTTTGGGAACCATGCAAATGTGTAGCAGTAAATGTCATTAGTGAGGTCACCTGTCAAATGTATTGCGCATTTGGTGTGTTTTTTCTTTGTAGATATGTATATACGGCTGGTAATTGGTATATATATATACTAGGTGATTTTCCCGTGCTCATGCACGGATATAAATATTTTAAAGTAAATATATATAATAATTGATTACTATTTATTTTTAATATTAAATTAATTTATAATTTGTATGCATCATTTCTATTAAATATTATAATACTTTAATTATACTATAATTATATATATATTATGTCTAGACGATTTTGTTGTTTTTACGGTTGATTTAGTTATCATTTGGATAAATTCGATTGCATCTCTGAATTCAGCTGTAATATTTTTAAAGTATATTAATTTTTAGTTAATTATTTATTTGCATATAGTGGGTGTTGTCTTCGATATGTAAATAAATTTTAGGAAAATTATATATAACTTAAGATATATTTTGCTTAAAATGAATTAAAAATTAACTAAAGTGTCTTATTCGAAAATACGTAAATTAATAGAACGATAATATTCTAAAATCTCATGCATATATATAAATTTAAAAAAAAACTAAAATTGCAAGAGTTGGTTAGTATTTATTTATATTTGTTAATATGTTTTAATTTGAGTTATCCTATGATCAATAGAAGGTTACATGCATAAGAAGTTGATACATTTTTGGAAGCTTATGAACACATATCAATATTTACAACAATTAAAATATTTATAAATTCTAAATAACTTTCTGCTTTAGATTTATTGAATGTAAACTAAAATTTATTTTAAATATTCTTAAAATTGGGAATTCATATTTGCTTTGGTATTTTGATTATAATTTTATTTAGTTTCACAAACATAAAAACATAAAATTTAAAAGAAATTTAATATTAAGAAAACAAATAATTTTAATAATTATAAAATATCATATATCTAGCTCATTAAACTAATTGTTAGTTAATCAAACGATGTTTATTGTTAAATTTATTTTTAGTTTTTAATATCTTTTAAAAATAAGCACTATACAAAATTGTGATTGTATTTGAAAATAATATTATATAAGTAAAATATAATTTATAGATAATTTTCTGTAGTTGAAAGATGTTATAGATAATATTTATAAATTCTAAATAACTTTATGCTTTAGATTTATTGAATGTAAACTGAAATTTATTTTAAATAATATTAAAATTAGAAATTCAGATTTTCTTTGGTATTTTGATTATTGTTATATTTAGTTTCACAAACATTAAAACATAAAATTTAAAATAAACTTTAATATTAAAAACAAATAATTATAATAATAATAAAATATCATATATCTAGCTCATTAAACTAATTGTTAATTATTTAATCAAGCGATGTCTATTGTTAAATTTATTTTTAGTTTTAATATCTCTTAGAAATAAGCATTACACAAAATTATGATTGTATTTGAAAATAATATTATATAAGTAAAATATAATTTATAGATAATTTTCTGTAATTGAAAGATGTTACAGTCAACTAAATATATGAAAAAAAAAAAAATAAATCCAATAAGACTAATTATAAACTATTTTTATTACTCTAAAAGTATACTTTATGTTATTTAAACATATTTTTAAATGTATTATTAATATTTTGTGAACTTTTCTTTTTTTATGAAATCATATTATATATACATATTCATTTTCAATTTGTTTTTATGACTTTATAAAAAAAAAAAAATCCTT